AGCCTAGGCAATACACAGTTTGGAGCTGTTTTCACTATCTTCACCGCGATGTATGAAGTGTACATCCTGGACTAGTTTAAAATGGTTCTAATTTCATTACTCCAAGGTGTTGTGGTTAAGATCAGGCCTCTGATGCCAAACTATCTGAGCTTGGGCCTCAGCTTTGCTATTTGCTGCTCTGTGACCTTCTGGGATTCCTTAATTTCCTCTCAGAACAACCATGTTCTCACTCTTGTAAAATGAGAACCACCTTCCTTTTGGGTTTCGGTGAGGAATGAATGAGTTTAGACACATACATAAAGTACTCAGAACTAAGTCTGGCATACAATAAGGCATTATGTAAGTAAGAACATCTCTCAAAGTTTAAGAAAATGGTGGTTCTGCTTACTTAGGAGTTACCTGGAAGGCATCAAAGTATGGAAAACTGCTAAATAAAGCTAATTAGTACCATTCTTGAGTGTGAGGTGTGTGCAAGGGCTTAACTGAATGCATTTTTTCCACCCAACAGACATATCAAGGAAGAAGTCTGTGTCCATTTGTTCATTGGTCCATCGCGAGTGCTAGAACAGTGTCTGATAGTAATTAATGTGGTTTAAATGAATAGAAGATAATTTTTATTAATGTGTGTGCAGGTAACACAGTGGAGGTTCACTGAGGTGCTAAAACTTTCCCAGATCACACAAATGAAATATGTTGTGCCTTAACCCAGTTCTGTTTGATTATAAAACCAACCTCTCCACAGGCTTTTAAGTCACCTTGAAGGAAGACTGAAAGGATTCAAGAAAGTGAACTTTTGGTTGACTCTGAGAACTAACTGCCTGGTGGAGATTTTGTACTATAGGAGGGAGAATGTAAGGGATTCCTTTTAGTAAGACTTTCGGAGGATTGTTTCACCAGAATTTAGATCAGTGGTGGTTCTTAACCTTACTAATGCTGCCGCCCTTTAATACAGTTCGACCCACAGGTTGAGAACCGCTGATTTAGATGGTGGTTAGCAAAGCAAATTATTTAAGAGGTTACTTAATTCCTCTCAAACAAGTCTGACAACTATTCCTGAATCATATTTTCCCTAATGCATTTTGCAACCTATTTTCCATAACCAAATGGAATAGCAAAATATAAAGAAAAAAGAACATTAAAAACGTGGTTACATTTTAATTCACATTTTTGGAGAGCTCAATAGCTGGCTGAGTTCATGCTCGGTATGTGTTTGTTGAATGCCTATGTGTGAGAGGAAGGGAAAGCAAAAAACTATGGCTGCAGTATTCTAGTCCCTTGGTATATGGTGGGCACTCTGCTGGTCAGCAGCATCAGCATTACCTGGGAACTTATTACATATGCGATCTCATCACAGACCTACTGAATTGTAATCAGCATCTTAATGAGGTTCCAAGTGATTTACATGCACATTAAGGTTTGGGAAACTCTGCTGTAGCCAATATGGTTAATTGTGGAAAACAAATGATTGATTCCCATTTACTAATTAATCACATCTTATTGAGCATGTTTTGAAAAGTAAGGAACTAGAAGATAATTTATGCTAGGCATCATAAAACTCCAATATATATATTTTTTGAGGTGGGAGAGATAGAACTCTGTGAGAATTTGTTAAAAAATGGAGACTGTAAGCTTACTTATTTCTTCTTACTGGGGATTGGACCCATCATGCCAACTTAGAATAGGTTTCTCCAATTTGACAAAATGTGTGGATTACTTGCATGAAAGCTTTGATTTCCCTTTATTTATGGGCTTATGTAGCCTGAAGTAATTTTATTGTCAAAGTCATCCTCTGTTTTTTGTGTGAATCATAAAAATGTACTTCTTAAGTCCAAGGTGAAGTAGGGTAGCCAAACTAAAATTTATGGGACTGTCATCCTTTGTGGCAGATGTCTCATGTTAGGCTATAAAATCTTTCTGTGTGTGAAGAGGCAAAGAAATCTGCAGTGATGTGGAAATACATTATAAAACATTTCTGCCTAGTATACTATAGGATGTATATATATGCTAACTCATGTATACATACATATATTATACACGCATGCATATTGTACTATTAGTGTATATGTATACCTCTATGGATACTACTTTAGTGTTATGTATATGTATATATTTTATACTATCTACACCACGAATTTTTATAATTTTTCAAAAAGTTGTAATGTCTTCTCAGTTTTTTCAAAAGTTTGTAGTTATCATAATATAATAATTTCTTATAATAAAAATAGGTATTTGCTTTTGTAAATACTCAAAAATTATAATGGACAGTACTAACCTTGGACCATATTGGTAGAATTTTTTCTTTTTAGTGTTCAAACATATTTCTATAGTCCAAGACTACTAAAATTATTGATAAACTAGAATAGGGCCAGGCATGGTGGCCTAGGCCTGTAATTTTAGCACTCTGGGAGGCTGAGGCAGGTGAATTGTTTGAGCTCAGGAGTTTGAGACCAGCCTGCACAAGAGGGAGACCCTTTTCTCCTAAAAATAGGAAAACTAGCTGGGGTTGTGGCAGACTTGGGAGGCTGAGGCAAGAGGATCTCTTGAGTGCAAGAGTTTGAGTTTGCTGCAAACTATGATGCCATTGCACTCTACCCAGCATGACAGAGTGAGACTCTGTCTCAAAAAAAAATTAAAGAAATAAAATAAAAAATAAAAGGTCATACATGATGTAAAAAATAAACTAGGTATAATAATAGTAATACAGCAATTTCCTCTGATGACTTCCACATTTTCTTTTATTACATTGTCAATGCACACATTTTTCATCTATAAAACTTAACTCTTTCTTTTTAAAATATGAACCTGATTACTGTGCTTGGGTAGTCACTTGTGATTTTATCACCAGAAATTAATTTATCTGTATTATAGAGTGTTTTGATCAGATTATCCTTGAAATAACCTTTAGTTTGGTTTAAAACCATAATGATAGCCTTCATTTCCCTTTAAATTTCTATGATTTTGCATAGAATCATAGATTTTATATTTCTAGTGTTTTGTCCTAACTTCAAACTATGATCGAATAAGTCAGTAGCCTTGCTTGGCTCATGGTGCATTTGAGGACTCGTTACTTGCTGTCAAAAGAAAAGGAACCAAAATGGCACCGTTGGTGGCTCCAGGGAGTTCACCTGAGGAACATTGGGCTTAAACTTTCTATTTTATATTTTCTTTAATAAAGCAGGACTCAATTCTGCTGTTTGTACTTGTTCATGAAGACAGTTGTGCACACTTAATTTTTTTCTCTGCTTCTTGTTTATATTATTATAGGTGGTAAGTCCATAGAAACTGAACCTGTATGCATTGGCAGTATTGTAGTGATTGTTAAAGGATACTACTTGGAAATGCAGTCAAACCAAACAGTTCCCTCAATAGCAATGATCTTTATCGATGGAAAACATTTATGAAGCATAACTTCTGTTATAACTTTATTAATATATTCCTCTTTGTTTATTTGAAAATGTTTTCAGGTTGTTATGGAAATCATAGTCAAGGTCCCAATTTTATGATTTAGTATCTGTAAGAAAAGGGAGCACCAAATATAAGCAAAGAAATACTATGATTTTTGTTTTGCCAATTAAATACATTCCATGGAAATCTGATATCTGAGGATTGATAAGCTAAATATATATATTTTTTATTTTAGAGACAGATTCTCATTTTATCACCCTCGGTAGAGTGCTGTGGCATCACAGCTCACAGCAACCTCCAGTTCTTGGGCTTAGGTGATTCTCTTGCCTCAAGCTCCCAAGTAGCTGGGACCACAGGCGCCCGCTGAAACGCCCAGATATTTTCTTGTTGCAGTTTGACCAGGACCGGGTTTGAACCTGCCACCCTTGGTATATGGTGCTGGTTCCCTGCTCACTGAGCCACAGGCACTGCCCAGATAAGCTAAATATTTTCAAGGGCTTTCTAGTGATGTGTTTGTCTTTGCATACCTGTGACTGTTCTAGTTCTGTTTTCTTGAGTTAACTGAATAAACACTTTTCACTCTTCCCTTTTTAGCAATCTCAGTACAACATCAACTATAGACTAAAAGTTTTAATATATGATTTTCATTTACATTTCATTCTAAATATCTTATGATTCCCATTATTATTTATTTTTAGATCCACAACTTGCTTATAAATACTTCAAGATTTCTAAATAAATTGAATTTCAGGTCTGTCTTTCTGCTCTTTATTTTACTGTAGAAAATATAGTGGCAGGGTGGTGTCTATGGTATTGGGATTTTCCGATCTGCTTTGGGGACTAGTGGGTAGTCTAATTTTATAAAAGTTTTGTGTTGGCTTTCAATAAAATATGCATTCTCTACTTGTTGGACATAAACTTCTAATTGTGCCTGTTGATTGTGATATTTCAACCTTATAAATGTTTACTTATTTTTGACTATATAAGCTGATAGATCCTTTGCCATGGTTAGAGATATGTCTATTTCTTCTTGTATTATTTTCTCTGTTTTTATTAAATTGTAACTGTATAATTAATGCATTTATGGGGTACAATGTACTGATTTTATATACTATTTGAAATCTTTATATGAAACTGGTTAACACAGCCTTCACCTCACTTACTTATTTTCAATGTAATGAGGATATGTTCTAAGAAATGTGTCATTGCGATTTTATCATTGTGTGAACATCATAGAGGATACTTACAAAAACCTGTAGCTTGCTACATACCAAGGCTATACAGCATAGCCTATTGTCCCAAGGCTTCAAACTTGTGTAGCATGTTGCTGTACCAAATATTGTAGGCAGTTGTAACACAGTAAGTATTTGTGCATCTAAAGATAGAGAATGTACAATAAAAATACAGTATAAAAGATAAAAAATGCACAATTGTATAGGGCAATTGCCATGCATGGAGCTTGCTGGACGGGGGTTGCTCTGGGTGAGTCAGTGAGGGGTGAGTAACGTGAAGGCCGAGGGCATACACTCCTGCAGACTTTATGAACTATGTACATTTAGCCTATGCTAAACATATTTTAAACATTTTCTTTCTTCAAGTGTTATAGAACTTTTATAATTTATTTGACAGGTTTTCTGGTCTCTACCAGAAGACACCCCATGCCCCAATTTTTTTTTCTTTCTTCAATAATAAGTTAACCTCACTTACTGTAAAATTTTTACTTTATGAACTTTTAAACATTTTTAATTTGTTGACTTTTTTATAATAACTCAGCTTAAATTTAGCACACATTATAAGATAGCAAAAAAATTCTTTGTTTATATATTTATACATTTTTTCACGTTTTTAGTTTTATCTTTCTATTTCTTAAAGTTTTGTGTTAAAAATTAAGACACACAAAGGAAGGAAGAATAAAAAGCACCACAAAACAGTGAGAAGTTAAATAACAACAAGGCAGTAGTGATTCTTTACCTGTCAATAGTATCGAATGTAAAAGGACTGATCCCTCCAATCAAAAGACATGGAGTGGCTGAATGGTGATAAAACCAAGACCTAAGGTTACATTCTAAATCAGAATCTTCAAATAGTTTGCCCTGCACTTAACTGGGTGCGAAAACTTTGTTCTTCAGAGCAGGGATGTGACCAGAAAGCTTTTCTAGGTATGACTCTTCAGGTGAAAATAATAAAATAACAAATCAACTTTCTATGTTAATCAAAAACCATATGCTTGAACGCAGATGGAAGGATAGCCAAAATTTAAACTGTAGTCATGCACTACAGCACTATAGTGATGGATTGCACACACTATTGTGGTCCCTTAAGATTTTAATAGAGATGACAAATTCCTATAGCATGGTGATAACTGTAGCTGTCACAAGGTCGTGGCTACAACTACTTATTTATGGTGATGCTGTTAACAAAGCTACGGCTCTACCAGATGCGTCAACCTATCCCATCTACAATTATGTACAGTGCCTAATACTTGATGCTACTGGTTGACATATTTACTCTTCTTTTATCATTACTTTAGAGTGAAGTTTTTCTACATTTATAAAAAAGTTAACCATAAAATGACCTCAGGCATGTCCTTTCAGAGATATTCTAGAAGTCATTGTTATCATAGGAGATGACAGATGCTTGTGTGTTATTGTCCCTGAAGACCTTCCAGAGGGGCAAAATGTGAAGATGGAACACACTGATAGTGATGACGCAGTATAGGCCGAGGTTAACTGTGTGTGTTTGGGTCTTAGTTTTTAAAATTTTTTCATTTTTAATTATAATGGGTTTATAATAGCTGTATATATTTATAGGGTACATGTGATATTTTGACCCAGGCCTCTGAAATCATGCCTCACAGAGGTACATCTCTTTATGACTAAGACCTCTATACACAGTTTTTAAAAATTGGCTTTTTTGCTCTCCACTTCTGGAGCTAAGACTACCATCTAAGATGAAGAAGGGAAAAAAAGAACTAAGGCTACATATGATGTAGAAGTGAATCATAGAAAGAAAATAATAATGGGCCTATTCCAAGAACACAGCTATATTTAGGAAAATCTAACTTTCATCAAATACAGGGTATATACTCCTTTATTACTTTTATTGTTTTTTAAAAAATCATATTCTTAATGTATTTCAAATTATTTTTTTTCAATTTTTGGCCAGGGTTGGGTTTGAATCTGCTACCTCTGGCATATGGGGCTGGCATTCCACACCTTTGAGCCACAGGCACTGCCCTCAAAAATTTGTTTTTTAATGGTAGCTTTTTAATAATATTATAAGAGAAACAGATGTAGAAGACAAATAAAATGATATTTTAAATGTGCCATCATGCAACTGGCTTCCATATTGGTAATTTTCTTGAATACACATAAGCACTATGTGTCAATTTAGGGGAAGTTTTGCTTATTTCTCATTTTGGGGGTAATTTTATATCTAATTTATCTTGAACACTTTACCAATTCTTCTTAAGTTCATTTGGAATGTGTTGAGTATAATCTTTTGCTGTGTAACACTATTGATTTAGCTGGAAATAATTGATAATGTTAAAATATTGAGCACATTATTAAAAGTGACAGATTCATTCAGGCAGATTGAATAATGCAAGCGTGAATGAAATCTGTGTATATTACCATAATATAACTTTAAATAATTCAGTTCTTAGTTATGAGAATTGAATGAGAAAAAAATGATGTTAAAATTGTAGCATGCTCTTAATAGCCTGATTTTTCTCTTATGATTATAATATAATACCAAAATATTTTAAGTAATTTATTTCACTTATTATATTAATGTTCTCATTAAGATAACATAATTAATTATAAAAATCAGAATTCAAAAATGATATACAGGTAGATTGACCAAATGTTATTCATAGTTATTATGCAAAACAGGGTGGAACATTTCATAATCTGCCCAAATATAGTCTTTCTCTCTTTCTTTTGAGTCTACATTAATCTGTACATTTCTAATTATTTGAAGCTACTATACATTGCTATTTAAAATTTTTCATATAGTATTGTAATGAGATTAAAGGACCCAGATCATGAAAACCTTTTTTATTTATAAGCATTAGAGTAGCGGTTCTCAACCTGTGCTTCGAGACTCACTGCATTAGAGAGTATTGGTGTTCTTACCATAAGGGGACACAAGGAAATTTTGGGAGATGTTGACTACGTGTATGACCTTGATTGTGGTGATTGTGATGATGATATCCCAAGTATTTGCATAGGTCTAAAATCATTAAATTGTATACATTAAATATGTGTAATTTTTTGTCTATTAATTATACCCCAAAGAAGCTGTTGAGAGAGAAAGGGAGAGGAGAGAGAGAAAAAGAAAAAAAAGGTAGAGAGAGAGTGAGAGAGCTGTGCATACAAGTTTTTCAGGCAGCCACCTTGTGTTCAAAGGCTCAAAATAAAGAGGGTGTATGGTGGTAAGAAGAATTCAAAGAATGAAGGGAAGTGAGATTGGGTCCCGCTGTCCAGTTTCTAGTTCCTGGCTGCTCTAGTAAGCCAGGTATGAAATCATTCAAATGCCAATGGTGACCTTTAATAGGAGAGTTTAAACTGGAAAGGGACATGGTCAGATAAGCTTTTTGGGTAGACTGCACTGACTGTATTATGTGGAGTAGATGACATTATTTTTTTCTGTTGTGAAAAAGAGAGTAAAAAGAAGTCAGAAGAATAGATTTAAAAAAGTTTTTGTCCTTGAAGAAAAGATGCTTAGGGCTTATTAGATCATACTTCTTTTTTTCTTTTCCTTTTTTTTTTTTTTTTTGCTTGTCAAGTTAATGCAGACTTCAGGAAAACAGCTATAAGTTGTGAGTAGCCAGCAACTGTATGTTAAATTTAAAGCTTTTCTGACATCCAGTGTACTTACTATGACAGGAAAGAAAATTTTGGATTAATCAGTCACTATTAACAATCGGTGATTACTTATTTCTTGAGCATATATTTATATTTGTATCTAGCACTGTGCTGAGCACTGGATAGACCATGAACAAAATAGATGTGTCCCTGCTTATGGGACTGATAATCTATATATTCTGATGTTTATAACTTTTTAAGGTTTGAATTCAGCTGTGTGAGCTTTGTTAATAGTGATGGTCTGCCCAGTTTCCACCCTTTAAAGTAGTAAAATGCCTAGTCATTGAGCCCATTTAACCCCCAACTCCATCTGAATCTTTCACTTTCACAGCTCAAGCTGGCCACATGTTGGGAGAGTGATCCTAGGGGGGGCAATAGGGGATCCTAGGGGACCTCAGTCAGCAATTACCTGGCTTCGTCGTGTCTGGTGGATCTTGCTCTGCCTTTGGTGCTGTGAGTACTGATGACTGGGTTTTCTGGTTTGTACTTTAGTAGTTCAATTATGAACCTGACTCCTCAACCTCCCCATCTACCTGTTTGGTGTAAGACATAGTATGTTTTATCATTTGTGCGAGTGTGACTGTAAGTGTTTATGTATTGGTTTCATATAGTATTGAGTATGTATACTTTGTTTCCCCCCCCATTCTTGAAATACTTTTCTAAGAAGAATGTGTCCCAACTCCAGCCAGGTAAACATAAAAGATGTAAAGTCTCTGTGTTTTTGTGGCTGAATAGTATTCCGTACTATACCTATACCACAATTTGTTAATCTATTCATGAGTTGATAGGCATTTGGGTTGCTTCTATGTCTTGGCAACTATGAATTGGGCTGCAGTAAATATTCTGGTGGAAAATTCTTTGTGGTAAAATGATTTTTGTTCTTCTGGGTAATAGTAATGGCATTGCGGTATCAAATGGAAGGTCAACTTTTAGTTCCTTGAGGATTCTCCATACTTCTTTCCCTAAAGGTTGTATTAGTTTGCAATCTCACCAGCAGTGTAAAAGCATTCCCGTCTCTCCACAGCCACAAATGTAGTCTAGCAAGGGAGAGGAGAGAGGAAGGAGGAGACGGTGATTGGTGGGAGGAGGGAGGACATTTGCTGGGCTCTCGCCTGAAGTGCACAATGCAAGGGTACATATCAAAATAACTAAGAGTAAATTAAAAATGTTTTACCACAAAAAATAAGTGAGGTGATGGTTATGTTAATCACTTGGATTTAAGCGTTCCACATTATTAATGTATACCGTTATGATTTTAATTAAAAATTAAATGAAAAAAATTAAAAAAGACAGACTATGGATGAATTCCCTGGCAGTTCCTCTGTAGACTATCTTACACCATACAGATAGACACTGTGGATGATGATGATGGTTTTGATGATGGCGATGGCTATAATAGCAACTATAATACAATTTAGTATTTTTCAAATGTGGTTATCTTTGCTCAGTCATTGTCTCATATCACTTAAGATTTAACAGGCCTTTTGCCCTTGAACATAAGTCTTAAATTTGGATCTGCCTTCTAGGCTTATGGGTTGGCATGTCCACTCTAGAGTAATAGAACCAGTGACTGAAGTTATTGACTGATGTGGAATGATTACTTTAACTTTATTTCTGCTGGCTGAAATTTTTCTTCGTTTTGGCTTAGTTTCAAACACTTAAACATTTAATTTAAAACATTTTATTTAGTGGAACTTGACACCATTATTTTTATAATTTCACAGTTGCTAAGCTTTTAAAATATTAAACCATCAAATTTTAGTAAAAAAAAATAAATTAAGCTTAACTAGC